TGGATGGATGGGTGGATGGGTGAATGGGTGGATGGATGGGTGGATGGGTGGATGGGTGAATGGATGGATGGATGGATGGATGGATGGATGGATGGGTGAATGTTTGGGTGGAAGTGTTCTTGGGCCCAGAACAGATCCAGACCTGGTTTTAATGCAGTGGCCCCTGAGGGCCCAAAGATCACCACCATCCAGTTTTGACCTTCAGCCTGGACCTTTGAGTTCAGAGGTTTCTACAGATTCTTCTAATCTGTTCATCAGACTATCAGCTGAAGATTATGGAGATTCAAAGTATTCCCAGTTTTCCTTTGAGGGACATTATTCTGACACTGGTTCCACAGTGGAGCCAGTGGAACCAGTGTTCCAGCTTTACTCGTGACAGACTCAGCCTCTGAGATGTTTCTATCTCAGACTCACTTCTCTGACGACTCGTCGATAAATAACCAAAAAACGTGAATTATTATTATGAAGCTTTCACTCTATTGTGAGCCATTTTTCTTCCGGACATTTTTTTTAGCTTCTTTCTCATTTCACAATTTTTGTGCTATTTCAACAAATCATAAATGAAAACGTTCGGCTCTTTCACGACAATCCTTCTATGACTTTTGGTTTTGGTGCAGCTTTAGCTTTTTGAGATATTTAGCCTTTTCTGCCACTATTTGTCTTATTGAAAATGAATTGAGCTCATTTTACATCCTTCAGATCTGTAGATGTGTTTACAACATTTTTCAGCTATTTTCAGCTGTTTTGTTCTGCTTCGGCTTCTTTCAGATTCCTTCTGCAAATTTAAACTTCTTTTCAGCTACTTTCAGCTGTTTTGTTCTCCTTTCAGATTCTTTCTGCTAACTACAACATTTTTGTGCTTCTTCTAACTTCTTTCTGCTAATTTCAGCTTGTTGTGCTCATTTCAGCTTATTTCTGCAAATTTCAGCTACTGTACTGTATAGCTGTTTTATGCTAATTTGAGCATTTTTAGCTAATTGCACATTTTTTGCACTCATTTAGACTTTTATTCAGCCTAATTCAGCAAAAATGTGCTCTCTCCACTTCCTTCTTGTAATTTCAGCTTCTTCGTACTTTTCAGCTACTTTTCAGCTGGTTTTTTGTTGTTGTTGTTGTTGCTAATTTCCGTGTTTTCAAATAATTTCCATTTTTTGTGCTCAGTTTTGTCTGAGTCTGACTCTGACTGACTCTGACTAATTGGACAAACGTGTCATTTCTGCTAATTTCATTTCTTCTGCTTGTTCTACATTTTCAGCTACTTTTTTAGCTGTTTTCAGATGAATTCAAGTTTGTCGTAGTAATTTCTGCTACATTTCAGCCTAATTAACTTGTTTATCCTAATTTCAGCTTGTTATGCTCTTTTGGGGTTTTTTTCAGCTAGTTTCAGCTTTTTTGCTATTTGAGCTACTTTTTAGATATTTTTTTTGCCAAATTTCGCTTTTTCAGCTAATTCCACATTTTTAGCTCACTTCAGCTCCTTCTTCTTCTGATAGTTTAAGCTTCTTTCAGCTTTTTCAGCTACTTTTCAGCTATATTTTTGCAATTTCAGCCTTTTTAGCTACTTTCCTCATTTTTGTGCTCATTTCTGCTTATTTAAACATATTTCAGTAAATATGTTTTTTCTGCTGTCTTCTACTAACTTAGGCTCGTCCGTCCATTTCAGCTACATTTGAGCATGTTTTTAGCTAATCTCAGCTGATTTTCAGCACGTTCTTCAGCGATAAGCATCCACACTGCATTCTCACATGAAATGTGATTTCTCGAGTTAGTTACTGAGACGTCCTGCAGCTGGTTCTGAACCGGACCACTTCCTGTCCAGCTCATGGTTGCCTCTGGCCCAACAGCTCTAGACGACATGATGCCATAAAAAGGTCCATGTGCTTCTCGTAACGTTTCATTTCTGTTCCATGGCGAATAAATAAAGGTCTATGACGTCTACACAACAGTGCATGCTAGCTGAGTTAACGTTTGAACAACATCCAGATGTTATTGGGGTTGTGTAAAAGTTTCAGCTCCAACCTGATCTGAGAGTTCTCCTTCCTCAGAGAAGACTCCAGGCCCTGCAGCTTGCACACCTCCTGGTAGGCCCACTGCAGCTCCTCCTCTAAGCGCCTGCTGAAGCTGATGGCTTCATCCAGCTGGCCGTCACGCGATGAGCGGATCAGCTTCAGCTCCCTCAGGACCGGGTCTCTGACGTCCCATCTGTTCTGTGCCCTCCTTGTTCTTATTGTTTCAACCCCATCCGGCTGCCCCTCAGCTCTGTCAGGTGGTTCCACGTTTCCTTGCACGGGGTTGTTAGAAGAAGATGGGGAAGTGCTGCCCTGTCCCCGTCTGAGGGCCACCTCAAGGGCCAGACAGCGAGCATCGCTCCCCTGCAGCGCCGAGCGGAGGTCCTCCACCAACTCCCTCAGAGCAGCAACTTCATCCGAAACTGACGAGCAGAACAACAGACTTCAGAAGGAAACCAAACCAAACTGAGACGTTTTCACACTTACACTATCGGACCAAGATGGAAGTGATTCATGCTGTGATTCAACGTGCTGAACAATGTTCTTCTATAGATTATTGGTTTTAGTCTTTTTAATGCACAATCTTAATCTTTAATTTTTGTTCTTACTGTAAAGTGTCCTTGGGTATCATGAAAGGCGCTTTTTAAATAAAATGATTATTATTATTATTATAGAATTCAAAATCTTACTTCTAACCTACAAAGCTCTCAACCACCTAGCTCCATCTTATATTACAGATCTTATTGTTCCATATTTTACTAACAGAGCACTTCGCTCTCAGACTGCAGGTTTACTTGTGGTTCCTACAGTTTACAAAAACAGAATGGGAGGAAGATCTTTCAGTTCTCAGGCTCCTCTCTTGTGGAACCAACTTCCAGTTTCTGTCCATGAGGCTGACACATTGTCCAGTTTAAGACTGGGATTAAGACTTTCCTTTTTGATAAATCCTATAGTTAGGGTCGGCTTGGGTTTCCTGAGCTGTCCCTTAGTTCTGCTGCTGTCTTTACTTACTCTGCTCCACCTGCTTTGTATTTGTAATTATTTCAATATCAACATGTTTTTTTGTCTTTCCTCCTATAGAAAGTACATCTGGACCTACATCTGGACCTACATCTGGACCTACATCTAGACCTACATCTGGACCTACATCTGGACCTACATCTGGACCTACATCTGGACCTACATCTGGACCTACATCTGGACCTACACCTGGACCTACATCTGGACCTACATCTAGACCTACA